AATTGCTTGACATTTGTCGAATTTTTTCTTTAAACTTATAAAAATAAATAATTTAAAAATATTATTCAGATGGTATACACTTTTTTTTATCAGCCATAGGACTAAATTCTAACACAGTCGACATTGATATGTGTTTGAGCGTGTAAATTATTGCAGGGTGATTTCGGATTTAGCAGATATAAATACATAACATAATATTATGATATAATATTTAATACCTTTAAATCTTCCAAGGAGTCGTATGCGTGCACAACTAATAATTACCAGTAATACCTACTTGTTTTGTTGTTTATGAAAACGCATTTAAATCTACACACGGCTATGTACACTGTACAGTAATAATGAAGTGTTCATTGGGAAAGAAAGTTTTCAATTCGATCTGTGGCGTGGATTCAACACAAAACAAACAGTACAATGATGCTTAACGATGTATACAACACGATGTACAGGTAATAATACGATATTGCAACTTCCATGATTGAACGATACGTCGAGTTCGAGTATTTATATGATGTATATACATTATACACACACGTATAATGGCGGTGCAATTTCCGATTTATAAACAATATACTTTACCGAGCAAATAATAATAATATATATATACTTTCCGTCTGATGGTTTTAAAATAATATTCATGCGGGACTCGCGCTAAAATGAATTTGTCAACACGGCAACGTCGTCGTTTTCGCGCAGTAAACTGCAGAGGGTGACTTTGCGGGTCTGCGAGCAGTTATTTGTTTTAGGGGTCCCGGGTTTATTCCACCATCGCAACCACAGCACTACATTCCGTAGACATTGCAGGCGATGTCTTAGTATCACGTAATTATAACGATACAAATTAATATTACTAATAATGATATTTCACTTTATTATATTTTGTTTTATGCAAATCCGGATGTACAGCGGTAATAATAACGTTAATATTTTACTTTTTTCCCGCTACACTACAAAATAATCCACACGGTTCTTATTTTCGTTGTATTTTTTTTTATGAGGTACCTACCATGAAAAAATTAATTGTCATTAATTATTTGTGGACGTTTTAAAACGTATGTATCGATGTTAAAATCGCCAAGGTCAATGTTTTGATATTGGTTTTTTTTTTTTTTTTAAGTATTATATCTAATATTATTGGATAAGTATTTATTTTGGTTAGCCATAAATTAAAATACCTAGGACAGTGTCGTGGCTGAGTTACGATAATATATCATTTGATACGCGAGCAATAGATCTTCTCGATGGACGAAACCACTTTTTGAAAAATAATTTTTTAAAACAATATAGAAGAAACTATTTATCTGATAACATTTTTCTGCCTATACAATATATCGTATATATTATATAGGTATTATAGTTCCGGTTAATATGTCATGTCATTAGATTCCAGAAAAACGTCTATTAGAAACAATAATATTATTCTGTCAGTAGTTTTCAAGAAATTAATGATGATATCATGAAATAGTCAACATAAATAATCAATTATTCAAGTAAGATACCATGTTTTCGTTACTTTCTGAATAATGAAATATCAATAGAATTAAGAATTGGTATTATTATATATTGCAGATTTATCATTTTTCTTGATCTATGAGATATCCTAATGAGTATAATGAATAATACGTAGATACTTATATGCAATTTTAAAAATTCTAAAATGTATGTATTATGTCATGGTGTGTATATGATTCATATTTATTCTCAATTATTTAGGTTTTTTTATTTTTACATTATGCTTATTGCGGAATGTTTCGTATGAATATGCAACTTATTTATAATGAATCGTATAATACTCACATTGCAGAAATTATTTTTAGTTATATTCTTATCGAATCGTTAGTGATTATATAAATTGTATTTTTATTGGATTAATGCCAATAAGATAATTCACCGTGATCATATATATTTAATGTACATAAATATTACCTACACATGTACCTACTTGAAAGTCGTAATTTGTTACAAAAACAATTATTTTGGTTTGTACCTTGGATATTGAGTAACATAAAAAAAATATAATTGTTATAATGCTGTTTTATTAATAGACAACTTACGTAGGTTTATTTATAATTTAAAGGTCTGATAATAAAACTCAGTGAATTGTAAAAAAATCCTAACGTTATTAGTTAGTATTGGCACCTACTCGAACGGGTATTTTAGCATCGCCTTCTAGCGATTCCCTTTACTTAATAATATTTTTATGTTTTAGGGACAGGTAAAATTCAAACAAAAAATATATAAGTAGACTAAACAATAGTAATATGTACAAACACACACACGCACACACTCAAAAGAATAATTTGCATATTGTAAATAATATATGCGTTTGAGGTCAAAATTTTTCTGTATCATTGTGTATAATATGCCGTCTAATGACGGACGGACGTGTTAGTTTTTTGCCAACACCGTCCTTGAATATAGAATTATATCTCATAACAATCAAAAAATTTAAAGAAAAAAAATGTATATTTTTGTATTAATAAACACGGAACTTATAAATTTATTCTTATCACTTTAGGTGAAAAATTAATGTAGTCTGTTAAACATCCTAATTAAGATGACAGTCACTTTTGGCAGAAAACGGAAATTTTCTTACACTAAAAGCGTTTTAGTTTTTATCAAGAATCTTAACAGTAGGCGTTTTGGAGTGTAACTAATTCGTATTGAGAAATTTGAAAAAAACCGATATGACTGAAAAAAGTATTGTGCTTTTCTTTTATTACGACAAACAATATGATAATGTCTGTAACATTATAAGATGTTTTGTCTCGTTACCCGTTACTATTGTACAATATTATATTATATACAATACACTGTGAATTATATTTTAACGATTTTAAAACATGAAATATTTTTCAAGTTTTCAGAGATAACTTTTGTTTAAAATGTTATTGTGCCGTATGATAATTATTTCTCATTTTATAAATAATACGCTATTAATAATAATTTTAACAAGATCTAAAAGGGACATCATCACATTTCTCGAATCTATACATTTTTAAACGTCACGATACAAAAACGTGGTAAACGATTGCAGCTTATGATATTATTATGTCGTCGCGAGTATAATAATATTAATATATTATGTAATGTTTTATAGGTAGTGTGCAGTGAATGAAAATGGCAATAATAAAATTGTACATTTCAGTCGATTGTGCAGGTCGAGAAGGCGCCGCGTGTGAATAAGGACTGGCCAAGACATGGCCGATTACGGCCGTTTGCGTGAGTAAAAAATATAATAAAATCGTTTTCCAAAAACATATTTTGTATAGTAAACACATGAAATATAGCAGGAGAATATCCGATGCGCTCCTTACCGTTCATTTTATCTGCATACACGTATAGTAGCAGCATTGTATTGTAGTATTATGTCATTTATTGAACGGACGCGCAAATGTTGAATACCGACAATACGATCGTATTGACTGTGTCCACCGAAACATGTGTCCGTTGGGCAATCCCGTACGCGAGACCGAAAGTATAAAGGAATCTCGCGAGGCATTAAGAAAGATCAGTGAGTGTGAAGAATTCGTGCGTTTAGCATGTCCGTGTGAAGGGTAAAAAACAGGTTTACAATTCTATAAAAATGTGTACAATAATGATATTATGACGTGTTATTGCTGTTGTTGCTAACTGTCCGTTTGTTTATTATAGCTTCATGGCACATATCTTTGGCTAGTGGAGGGTATATCTCACGGAGTATTATTATAATAATTTTTGCTTTTGAAATAAATCAAAGTCATCCACATCGAAAACAATTTTTTTCTCTAACTTTAAACAATTGTATATTAACGTTTAACTATTCGACAGCTTAGGATATTTTTCAATTCTAGTAGTTAGCGTTTTATATTTGCAGGAAAATGGAAATTCGCGTAATTGAGGTTAATAAGTATAATTTATAGTTTGTACAGCACACACAATAACTAGATCAACTAATAGGTAATTTAGTTTTTTTAGTTTGATCCTTTGAAAAGTATGATGTATTTTATTGGTATTTCAGAAATATATATATATATCAGTTTATCAGCATTTAGTATACAAAAGCTGATTTAACCCTAACAGATGTTGTTATAATTATTATTGTTAAGCAAATTTACTAAATGGTAGTGAGTATCTACCATATTCTATATAAGTTGGAACAATGGTTTAATATTTTATTTTGTCACGTCGACCGCAATTAAATAGATATAATATTATAATTTATAACTAATATAACTTAAAAGTATATTCTAGGTATTTAAATATCCAAAGGCCAAAGCATTCTATTATTGATGTCGACCATTAAGCTACGTACAACTAAGTTGGTGTGTTTATTTTTAATCATTGTTGTTAAACGGCTGTAGTTGATTTAATTAAAATTCAACAATAACTACGACACAACCAAGACTTTTAAAAATTACATAGCTAAATAGCTCTATAATAATTAGAATAAATATCAAACTACACTAGTCTATCAATATTCATGGGCATTCGAAACGTTTCCGTTGTGTGACAAGAGTTTTTATAATATATTATACACGATTCTCGTAACATATAACGTAATATATATTTTTATAATATTGTATAGTTATGTAGTATATACTTATAACAACAATAATGTGACAAGACTCATTAAACACTTTTTCTTCATTAAATCATCGAATTGGATTTCATTAAAACGTACTATTATACTCCAAGGACATTATTATAGTAAGCATTTGGAAGCAATTATATAGTTTTTATGACGCTTTATTGCTTTAATTTTGGTCGGACGTTATTTTTTTTTTTATCGATTTTCAAACTTTGATAATCGTAACGTGCAATTATAATATATTATGATTTATGATATACAATCGAAAGATTAGCGTACAATATAATATTATTATCAAATGTTCGATTTTGATATTATTGGTTCAATTTAAGAGTATATTGCGCATAATTTAATATTATAATATACAACGTGTGCAATTCGACCCATTGGACGTTACTCAATTGATGACTATAATTTATGTATGCAACAATTAAACATGATTATAAACGTGAAATCGTCGGCATGTGCGGTGCATCGTTAAATTGTATAGATCTTCGACGCGCGACGGTTGTAATATTATTTATTGTATTATATTAAAATTAATGATTAAACTATGATATTATAATATATTGATATAGAGATGACAAGACGAGATCTAGGTAAGTATAAATCGTTAGCATATCGTATTTCTTGTAGTGAAATATTAATATATTATTGTTTGTGCTCGACAAATTTTCTATTTCATACATTTTTGGCCTTTCTGGTTTCTATATTAAAACTCGGATTCGTTTGTTTACGACCATCAGTAACGTAAACCTGTACAAGATCTCTCACTTCGACATTTTTCTCTCGATTATTTATCAAGATTGCAGAATGTCGGAATTGTAGCTAAATAGTGTAATTCTTCGTAGTGTAAATTCACATCGTGCCATATAGTGTCGTAGAGTTATTATTCATTAATTGAACGCGAGGGGCTCGGACAATAGTCTTACATAATATGAAATTCAATATCGTATACATAACGTCAGCCACATAATTAATTATTGTTGTAACGACGCTGATACTTCGGAAAGAATATAATAATAATAATAATATCCTATTGTAACAAACGACGACGGTTGCAAAGACGTCAGCATACTAGCTTTATTATTATCGAAATTGATTCAAAATCCCCATAAACGATCTCGAAAATTCGATTGAAAACAAAAATGTTTTATCGTCAACTAGACTTTGCGGTGGTGCACGTTACGTTCATAAGTCGTACGCCAGCAGCCGATGACCGATAAAAACATCATCACGACCCTCTCCTGCAACAGGATGCAACGGACCAGACCTTAATGATAAACGGATCCGAAAACGAGTGCGACCGGTTCGCGGATCGGTCACGGAAAACGGATTTATTTAAATCGAAGCGCATACCTTTGTGTCGTACACATTATTATAATGTTTAACGCGCGGTACACTGGAGTATATAAGGTATATTATATATTGTATGATTTAGTATCGGTAGCGGTTATCCCGGTCGGGAATACTGGTTGTCGCAGCCTGCACAGGACCCTGGGAAATGCTGTGCGTGTTGCTGCAGAACGGGCAACAGGGAGAGAGAGAGAGAGAGCGAGAGAAAGAAATATAATAATAATAGTATGTTTTAATATTACGTTTACTAGGACACTAGGTAGATATTACTATATTATATCGCGGTGCTCGCCCGTCATTTGAATAAAATCCAATCGATACAATATGCGAAAATATCTGCCGGACGACGACCGACCCGGAGGAGCTGCAGCACAAAGCGACAACAAAACGGTCAGTGTCTTATTATTACCATTACTATTATACATACATAGTGTATGAGTTGGACGACGGGGAAAACAGCTAAGGTACACCATATTATTATAATGCGCGCGTACGATCGGGGCTGGACGATGAGGAGAGACCGTTGTCCATTGTGTATGATTTATTTACGTCCCGGCGGCGGCCTCCCATTGTCCCACGGTCAGTGCGTGCGTCTGTGTGCGTATATCGTATATATACCGCTGTACCGCGTTGTAACTGCAATATGTGCGTACATCCGAAGAAAATTTTGCATAAGGGGTGCTCACCGTTTTTAAAAACTAAAAATGTGTTTAATGGGCATTATACGCGTAGGTTATACGAGAGCGCATAATAAATATATTCGTCCCCAAAAATCCGTCATCGGCGGCCACGGTATATGTATATAGGTATTACGAATTATACATTATATTATTATTATTATTATTATTATGCACATAGAGGAGGTATCCGTTCCGGTTTACCGAAAACGGCCGCGATTATATACCGTCGCAGAGTGGCGAGAAACGCTCGCGGGACATAATGAATTCCGGTTTTCGAAAAATAGAAACCACCGCCGTACAGCGTTTGAATAATACGAAACGTCATATCGACGTTTTATTCGCAATGAAATATATACGTATTTATATTGCACATACATATACGTGGGAATTTGTGGTGTTTATTTCGATCAGGTCCCCGTCGATATGGGGTATAAAACTATGATTATAACTAGAAACGATTATATTATTATGGTCAGTCGACACGAGTGAGAGTCCGTTTTTAACGCGTCGTTAAAGGTAATATTTACCGGTAATTTTGTGTGATCTGTCCAAATTTAATAATTGGTATTATTTTAGCCCATTTAGCGGTAAATGAGTCAATTGTAATCTAATGTAAGAAATAGGCGAGGATTTGCGAATCAATGAAGTTACACAACGTATTTATCATTTAAATACCTATATATGTGAAAGTAGGTACCTAGGTATATGTTATATGAAAATATATGAAATATTGTATTGCGTGAAAAGGAATAGGATTATGCTACGAAAGAGATGCAAAATAAACATGAAATGTTAAATTGTTTTAAAAATGTGACTAGCTCGTTCAATTTTGAATTAATATCACGCAAAAAAAAAATGTATTCAAAATATTTAAAGTGAAAAGTAACATTTTAATTATAATTAATTCACGTATCATACTTCACCTTGCTGTATAAGTGTAAAACAAGTAAAGTTTTACACTGTTTGTTACTTAACTCCATTTTCACTAGCATCTATAAATTAATGAGGAAACTTAATACGTTGACTACAAAGAAGATCATTGTCTTGTTTCTGAATATCGGAAAGCAGGTATTTAGTTATAAATTTATAATAGGTACTAGTTAATAATTTTCAGTATTTGACTATATTCAAACCAACTCTGAATCGAATCTCTATACCTCAGTTGTATAAATTATAATGTAATAGGTGTATAGGTGAAATAATAACCAATATAGCTGTATAGTATGTATCTATATAATAATGGGTTTAGATTTTTAATAAAAAAATTGAAATAGAGTACAATAGAATTATGGAATTCTATTAATATTTTCTCGAAAATGAGGAAAATAGATTTTTTATTTAAAAATAATATAAATGAATATTAAGACATGTTGTTAATGATTGATGAGTCTTTATTTTTCATTCTCATCAAACTATCTACTCTCAATTAAGATATTCAAAAATAAAAAAATAATTATAAAATATCCAGACTAAATTAGCTTGTAGATACATAAGTTTTCTTTCGAAATTCTATTTTTATTTATTGAAATAAAAAAAAAATATTTTGCATTTAAATATAAAATTAAAAATTTATGCTTTAATTTCAAAAGTAACTAAAACATAAAACTTAAAAGTTATAAACATAAACATAAAAAAGAAGATATTTTTTCAAATTTTTGTTTTAAAGACTATAAGTTATGTAAAACTATACTTCTAATGATGTAAATCCTTTTTGTGAATACGAGAGTTTACCTTCAAAAAATATAATTAATATTTACATAGTTTATCGATATTTTAATCGAAATAAGGGAGTAGGTAGTGCTCTTCAGTATTTCGACATGGTATAGAGCGTGATATGCATGTTGTATTATACTACATAGTTCGTTTATATACGTATTATATGAAGGCGTTAAAGAGTGGTTTTAAATCCACAGGTATTAATATTTCAACTGGTAAAAAAAAATAATTCAAACCATCAGTAATTATAACAGTAGATCTGCTGATTTGAAACCGTTTAAACGTTATCATATAAACATATATTAATATGCGCTTAATAGGTTCGTTATATCCGTAGCATGAGTTACTATATAGATAGATTAGAGAATTATTTCTAATTAAATTAAAAAACATTTTATTTTCCATCTTAATATATAGTTATGATGATAACTGAATATTATGAATATTAATATAGGTAAAATTGTAATATATTATTTGGATACTTGTAAGTTGTAATGAACACCGCGTGATCGGTGTTCTATAATAATGTATTATTATATACAAGAGATATGTATACATTATTAAGGACAACTGTTTATTATAATATATGACATTTACGCACACAGACATTAAAATGTATTAGTATAACTTATATATATATATATATAGTTTATACTCGCGTGTGTGTATAATAATATTACGAGCAGTGCGTTTTATAATGATATTGTCAACGTCCCGTCCGATACAAGCGGATAGGAAGTCATCACTTTTAACCGCGACCGCGCAAAACTGATTCATATCTCCTGCTCGGTCACTGTGCCGCAATAATAGTAATAAATAATAATATTATATGTAGTTAGAATAAAGCGATACAGTTGTGTTGTACGCGTGTATACACATATCATACTCGTATACATTATATTACAATGTGTATGGTAACACGCAGGTGGTTTCGGTTAACGAACGTTTCCCTTGTTTAATTACAATCGTCAATCGTCGCACTACATAACAGTATACGAGTATGGTTATTATATTATATATTTTACGTGTAAACGTGAGAATTAATCGAATCACCTGCATCGGATTAACCGATGTGAAATTTAACAACCGTTGTCACATTTTTTTTTTTTTTGTCATCGTATTTGGTCAAAATCTGCCACTCAATTATTTAAAACGGTTTTGTATTTCCTTCGTAAAACGTATAGAAATTTTCCAGAATTAAAACTGCGTAAAATATATTGGCACAGTATAATAATATGTAATATACAGGTGTACAGTATACATATGTGGTGATTTAATTCATTCAAACATATTATTATTTATTATGGTAATGAATTTAACTTTTTTGAATTACATATGACATTAGTATTAAAATAAATGTATTGGGTACCTATATAAATATATTATTTATATATATATATTAATTCGTCCAGTTATAAATACGAGTAGACTACGTTTTTATTTTTCGACATATAAAGGACAATGTTTCTATAGTTTACAATTCACAATATCTTAGGAAATCTAAGTTATAACAACAAAATTCTGGTGTAGGTATAATACCAAATAAATCTATAATAGATATGGGTTAAAATTTTAAATAATTATCTTATCTATGTCGTATTAGATGATTAAAAAAGTGGTCAACATTTTTTCAATACAAATAATTAATAATAGTAAACTATTAAGCTATTTATTTTACATTCTACTGTTTTACTCGTGAAAGAGAAATCAAGTTGAACAATTATAAATTTGTATGCAGTTATAAAACCATGTAATCGCTCTATCAGCTGAGTGAATATGAATGCACAGAAACAAAAACTGATCTTTTGTCATCACAACAGCAGTACGGACAGCGTTATGATTATGAGTTACGACTTACTCCTCTCTGGAATAGGCTTCTACATTATCGAGACGTATTATACGCATACCGGTCATCATCTCCCTTAGATAGCTTAGGCCTTAGTCAATAAAATATAATCATAGTACATATCATTGGGAACTTATTTGTATAATTCCTTTTAACTAGTTTGGAAAAAGCGATTCAGCGATTCTAATGTAATTTTTTTTTTTTTTTATTAACTGATTTACTTATACAGCATATTAAATATAATAGAGACAAATATGAAAATTTATTTCTGGCCAACTAATATGTGATAGATTGAACGAATAAATGCGTTTTTATCAGCTTAATTTAATACAGCATACGTTTATTATAATATGATGTTCAACAAAATGCAATTAACCGAAAAAAACAAGGTTGAGACTATAATATAGCCAATTTATTGTTCCATAAATACTGTATTTAGTTATTATAGATTTACTGAAGTATTCTATTGTATGCAACTCCATTTCATAATAATATTAGTATTATTATTTTTTGTATTCAATAATTTTATTTCTACACTCCAGGTGCCTATAAATATTATGTTCTTGCAATCATGTACCTATAAACTGAGTAATGATAAAATATACAATAACAATAGAATATTTGGGTATGTAGTAAGAGGTGTATACCTAATAGTATAACAATAATTTAATAATAATAGTTATTATTATTAGGTTCGAAATGTCTGCGTGATACCACTGCGGTGTCGCGGTCGGTGACAAAGTCGGATCGTCGACGTATCAATTAGCGAATTAAATTTACCGCAACACGAGTGACGGGGGTGGTCGTAGCGTTCGGAAGAGGGAAGACGTACCGCGCTTGTTAATTAATATTACACGGGATGCACACAGAGATTTCTAGTGTGCGTGTGTGTGTGTGTGTGTACATAAAAGCGATGGTTGTCATTAGTACGGTTAAGGACGACGTCGACGACGAGAGACGAGGGTCCAAAATAGCGAGGGATCACGATTAAACACACACACAAGCACGCGTGTAATATATGATGTCGTGCGTATATATATATGATTTCACCGAAACTCAATCCCGTTGAAAGTGAACGTCGTCGTATGCGTGCCTTTAATTAAGAAAAGTTTACCGTAGTTCCGCCACCACCGCGGACTGGAATAGAATAGAACACAATATTAATATTATTATAAATCCGATTATTATTTGTACGTATTAAATTATTACATAGGATATGTGAATAATAACGATACGATAGTATAATATGTCATTGAGTCGTTGTAGCATCATTGTATCGTTATTAATATTTTTTTCCCACGCATTTATGTTAATTCTCGTGCCAGAATTTACCCTCGGGCCACTGTGGTTTTTTTTTTTGCAGGAGACGATGTTGCACTTTAGCTGTAGCGAAAATCGTGTGTTACAGTACCGGCGGGGCGGCGAGGAAGCCTGCAAACTATCGGTCCTGTGAATATGCGCCTGTTAAAGGGATTCGTCGTGAAAAGCATACGTCACCGTCTCGTACGTAAATATGACAGAATATGGGAATTTATTTTGCAGCAGTACTACTAGTACCTATATCTAAGCTTATCGCTACAAAAGTCCTTATAAGCAAACCCAGTTTGTTAAATATATACTTCTTCATTTGGACAATAAAGTACATTAATATTACCATTGAGTATATATACATAATGGCATTATACATACTAGGTATTCGTGATTTCCATTCCGAGACACACAGACTATGTATAAACATTATTATCGGTTTTGAAATTGATTCTGACAGTAGTCATAATTCATAAGTATATATAATCTATATATACATGTATACATCAGAGGTGTTCAACGTTCAACCCATGGCACACGTGGTCTCTCTATAAGGTCTGTGAACAAATTTTAAGCATAATATTTATATTTTATATTTTCCTTTTTTTCGACAAGATAAATTTTTACGTGTAACACGTGTTGTAACACGTGTATAATATGTATATTGAAATAGCTATAAAACGTTTTATATATTGAAAACAGAAAAATAACCATTTTAAAATCTCTTATTAAATGCTGATTACGGGGTGCTATCTACGCACAATAATTAAATTAAATGTATGATGTTTAACGCATTCTTATTATGTATAATATATTATATATGCAATATATTGGCTTTAATTTCAAATTTAAAAGTATATTAGAGTGATATTTTATAAATTATAATAATAAAAACTGATTTATTTTATAAAACATAAATTCTTACCACGAATGAGGTCCGTTAGATTTTTCTAAAGTAATAAAATAAATAGCAAAAACACTAAGATGGTTAAACGATATTATAAACTAACGTATATCTAATAACAAGTTTTATATCAGCCGTTTATTGTAAAACAGATTTAATAATAATACATGTTGATTTTTTTTTATGTAATCACTTAACGCAGACAATAAAGATAAACATTATTACTAATGTATTTTATTTTATAGGTTTAGTTGAATTCGTACATTATATTACACGAAGACGAATTCGTTGAATACGAATCTGGTTAAATAAAACAATGGGGCGTATACTAAAATATCATATAATACTAATGTTTATAGTTTTATACACAAACAACTACAAAAACAGAACACTTGCTTAGTAATAAATCGTAAGTAAATCAGTGTTCAATGTTCATATAAGTATCGGTGTGGAATACCGATTGATCCTGCGAATATATGTTTGGCGATGGGCCGCCGAGACAGTTTTTGGCAGTCGCGTCGTAGGAAAACGGATGATAATTATAAAGTAAGGATATGATGTGAACGTTCGTGTTGTAAATTAGAAGTACAAAGTTCGGCGATCATCACGGTACCGCAATTTCAATTACCCGCCCACCGCGTGTACCGCGATATTGTACTAAAGTGTATACACCTCCTTTCGGTATTTCGCGAAACAACGGGTTGAGGAGCGCAGGAGCGCAAGGGTTGGTGGTAGCTGTAAAGTCACGTCGCGCAGGTGCCCTTTCTATTATAAGTAAGCGATATATATATATATACACGTATATACATAATAATATATTTAAACAATCGTCGTGCGATCGTTCGCGTGGGGATGATGACCGCCACCGTTGCCGCCGCCGACCCTTTGTACGACGACGATGGTTCCCGAATAAAATACACGTCGTACATATAATAATATAATAAGCTCTGGCCGGTATGCGCGTGATTTCGTGTATACGCGAGCACGTTGAGGGGCCTATGTGCGTATACTGCACATTTGCGCGATATGATAAATAGTGCGGCGCGCGTACACGTTTAGAAGGGACTATAGGCGTAGCTAGAGGAAATGCGGCCTTGGGGTTATTTCCATAAATCCACTGGTCACCCGGCAGCACCGCGTCTCGCATAACTTATGCGCACGTCGTACACCGCAACAAACACACACGCATGCCAAGGGGTCAAGAGGAAGACCTCTCGCTCGGATCCCTGCAATGACGACGACGACGATGACGATGGTTTCTTTTGTACATGTATTATAACACGTCGTGTGTGTGTGTATATATATATATATATATATATATATATATATATATGGTCAAATATCTTATCCATGCGTATATACGGTCGAGTATTACAGGGATCAGTGTGTGTTTATATTATACATATATGAGAGGTTTTTAACCGATATAATATATTATATTTTATCCCACAGTAGCCCCACGTTTGACCGCCTCGCATAGCATATATAGTGCCGCAGGACGTGCCACTACCGCGATGTCCTTTGGCCGCGCTAAGGTCTGACGATCGCGTGTGCATGTATAATGATATATATATATATATATATATATGTGCGCAAAGGGAATTTTGTTTTCAAACGTGAAATATCTTGAGTTTAATAAAAACAAAAAAAATTATACGCTCCTCAGGTTAGAACTTACACAAATAACTACCTATACTGATAATTGTACGTATATTTTGAATAGATACGATATCACGTTTTATTATTATAGGTCCGTATAATAATAATATGGTTATATGATTTTCACATGTGATTTATAAAATTCAAGTGCTGCTTATGCATTGTGAATTATTTAACATCCAATTCGATGTATGTAAATTGCGATAATACTTTATTTACTTACGACCTATTTTCTATACATACGTTTAAAATTTTTTTAATCCATTTTAACCTAATTCAAACCTAATTTATATATATAAAAAAAAATAACAAATCAAACCGAGTAAAACCAGGAACAATTTTTTCGATCATTTAAATAATGGTTCTGTTTTCAGTATACGGATTATTTTCGGTACGATTCCAGTTCTTGTTTTTGATAAAATAATGCTCGCTATAATTACTTTATAATATTATAGTATTTTACAGTTAATTACAGTTAATTATAAACTATGATAATTTTATTCCGGGAGTAAAATCATCTTTTTTTTAATCTTATGAAACGTATTTTCATAATATATATGTATATAAAATCACGCATTACGAATAAGGGTTGTGTAAAAAGGTATATTCTCAAGTTCAAAAAAAAAAAAAAAAAATGAATAAATAAATAAAATAAAATTCAATCCTGTGACAAGTGTCTACAACGAAAACGGTGTGCTTCCGGTCCCCACGCGTACGCAGCAGTAAAACACTCGAAATCCCATGTACTCCAAAACGTATATAATTTCACCATCCCCAGAAAAGGTTTCGTGCAACCCTTCGGGATGCTAAATACTCGAAACACTCGGACAGTTATGATTTACATCCTTTTTGGCTTTTCCCACCCCGTTATCTTAACGTTAAACCGGCCCCTTAGGGGTATATGTTTTCGTTACACGTGAGAGTAAAATTGATAAATATACCCCAAACGCGAAATTTACATCTGTGCAAACAATTGTAATAATATACACCACAGCGTCCAATCGTATTGCAAAATCAAAAATTCTATACATTATATAACTTAATATTTACCATTAAAATAAATACGTACCTACTTATATGTTTCCTTGAATAAATATAGCTAATTTTGATACCATTTACGCGTGTATTCCACTCATCCATTAACATTTAAGTAAAGTATTGTGTGCGTAGGTATATAAACTCGTAATTACTGTTAAGATCAAATCGTCAACGAAATCGGGACATAGGGATTTGTGATTTCATTATTATATTTTTGTTCGTTGATCTGTTGCGTTTGCGTCACCTATACTTATAAAATATTCTTTAAGGCTTACTATATTATATATACGCATTAGTTTTGTATTCGCGTGTTTCTAATTCAGTAATAGGCGGTGCCGTATAATGATAACAATATAAAATTAAGCATTTTAAACTGTTGCTGTATTATTAAAACCTTATTATTATAATTGATAAGTACATAATAATACAGCAGTAAAAATGGGGTTAATTTGACCGTATTATATTTTGTTGTTCTTAATTTTAGTTGCAATTTAAAACGTATATAGGTAGGTAGGTTACTCGTGCATTATATGAAATGTTTTTTCGAAGATTTACGTAAAACCCGTTTATAACTAATATAATTTCTGCGGTCATCATCGTTTTCGTTGTTCTTATGTTCACAATGACATTATAATATTACTATTCATTATACTGTTTTTTACGGTATATTATTACCTCATACCCGAAGTCTTAATAGCATAAAATTGTAGTGTTTAAGCGTGTATTTTGTGAAGAAGCTAACTCTAGCTGTAGAAATCTGCAAGATCACATTAAAAAAAGCGATTCACGTTTTATTTGATAACAAATTTATTCAAATTTTGATTTTTTTAAATTCTAAAATATACTTAAGTACATGTTTTTATATTCTTAAAAATTTTGAAATTTCTTTTTAACTATAACTCTAAAAAGTTAAGTTTCATGTTTATTAAAATGTTTATACTAAAAATAATAGTTTTTAAAAATGCTTTTATAAAAATTTAAGATAGATGTTATATTGGATATACTTGGATCTAGTAATTTTTAAACTTGGACTATTTTTACAAATTATAAATGTTAGTAGATTAATAATAATTACTAAATATAACATATCACCATAATTCCTATGACTCTTAAAATCATTATTAAGGTCCTTTAATTCTTAGTAAACAAAATTGAATAATTCAAAATATACTTTTTCGAATTAGAGTTTTAAATTTTAATAGCATAAAATTTGTAATTAGATAATTTACAATAAAAAAGGGGCTTCTGATGAGAAAAATAGAAATTTGTATCTTCACAGAATACTGCTAATGTATTAAAAAAACGCATTTATTTGAAAAAAGGTTTTTTTGTATATTTAAAATATTTCAAAAATCAGAATTTGAATAAAATTATTCTCAAAGAGGAATGGGGCGAATATTCTTGGCGAATAATCATGTAGGTATGTATTAAAAACTAGAATAATTTGTGTAAATATTTATGGTCAGCCAAATTAAAAGCTTTACTGTTTAAATATATTAAATCTACGGAATGCATCTCATCACATGATTATCAAGTTCACCGCAATAAGTTTTATACCAATTTGAAAATTATTTTCGTACAATATTATTTGTTAAGGTATAATGATAATAACAATTTTATGTGTAACCTTTAGACATAACATGTAAATTAATTATTTTGCATAAAGTTCATAGTAAATATTATGCACCTGATGAATAATTGTAATTTTGAATGAGCATTGTGTGTTTAGAATCAAGTACGGTTTCTTAATAATGTATTGTCTCTCATTGTGGTTTACGTTCGATAAAAATCTCTGTATATTGAGTTATTCTGCAGGAAAAATATTGTTCTTTTTATTTTATACCCGCCACTCGGGTGCTAAAAATATGGCAATATAGGGGAGATTTCTCCCTACTATCGTATAATATATATATTTATGTGTGTGTGTGCTTCTTGACGCGGCGTGGTGTACTAACCTGCAATTACTCGATAATACCCTCTGATAAACACGGAATTAACTACCGTCAGTAAATATTCGGTTTGACGAAATCCCCTCGACGTCGGGTGGAAAAAAAAATGATTTCGTCGTAAGCTTATCGTCGTGAGGAGGGCTTATTCGAATTATTTTTGTTTTCACCGTGAAAATCCTCTCAGTTTTTATTATTATTTTTTAAACCTCTTCTCTACGGCACCGTTTTTTCTTTCTACACAATCACGTACGATTTTTAAGAATAAAGATACCACTCACGCTATTTTTGCAATACCGCATCATCGCCACACACACACAGCAGCTTTACTATTCTAACATGTTATAATAACAATCTGTTATAAATATTAAATTTATAGAAACTCCCGCAAAACTAAATAATAAAGTCGAACATTCTGTTGAGACCAGATCGGATAATATAATGCTAATAACAATAAAGGGTATTAGCATTATTGTAGGGCCCGTTTTGTATAAGTATGAAAATCGTACAGAGAATATTATTTATAATATGCTCGCGCGCCAGTTCCGTCGTTCCCAACTCTACACGTATTTACTTATACGTGTTGTGGCACACATTTTTACGATAAGATCTTCTTAGCGTCAATATAGTGTGTTGTGTTAATATGAATGTATTATTATTATTGTGGTATGATCGGGCGTCGTTTTTGGTATTGTACCTATTATACTTGTATTATATTTACACTGGGTCGTTTTTATTTGTTTTCCTGCGTATCCAAAAGCATAAGCGTGACATCGGCGTAGACAGATATTATTATGATAATTGCTATAACTTAAGACGACGACAACTGAAATACAATGTAATATATTTATATTCGCGGTCGGTCGTCGTTGTCGCCATCACAATATCATTTGAGTAGATCAGATGATCTGAATTGCTAAACATAAAATAACACAATGTAAATTTGGAAATAACATAGGAATAATTATATTGCGCGTTGTTGGTATTGCGTTTTAAAAATAATACCGATCAATAGGATCCACAAGTAGACTACACTAATAATCCTAGTAGGTTTTTGAAGTCCAGGTATTGCATTTTTATTTCTTAAAAATTGGCAAGCATTAATTAAACCAGTCAAGTTAGTCAAGATGAGCTGAGTAATACAATAAGATTTTCTATGGATACCTTTTTTTATGATCTTACTTCATCGTTCATCTATTAATCTTAATGCACGTTTTAATAATATTATGATATAATATATTATATCAAGTATTATGTATGATAAAATTAGAAACTTAAAAAATCACTAGGTAAGATAAATAGTTTGATTTTTTTTTTTGTAAAAACACAGAAATCGACTATTAAAGTAGAACACCTAACTTTTTGGTTATAGATATTAACCTGTATAATAAAGGCATATAAAATATGTATGTATGTAGGATCACGTTTGAAAACCAATCAATCGGTGTTGAAGCAGTATTATTGGTCCAGCGTGTTTGCAATACAAAGTATTATTCGCATCTCGTATCTCTTGTATCATAAATCCACGTACGTAGTAGGCGTAAATAGTCGTTTCTAACAGTATAAATCACAGCGGCTTGTGGAAAACATCTCGTGGCAGTATGTAGAGATTTAGAATTTTTCTCATTTGTTATTTCCAGCTGGCTGTATCCGTATCAATTGCTTTATATGTCTATACGTTATATTACTCGGCGTTCTTTGAACATTTCGCGCGAACGATCAAATCAATCTTTTGACTTGAAACCGCGTGAAAAAGTCACTATATATTTACGTATACAATTTATATTTGCTATTTATACACATCAATATGTTTTTGTATCAAGTGGTTTACATAATGTAATTCGTAGCTTATCGTCGATTTTATGGAAGGTGCTGACCTGCATAATTTCATCGAGTTGTTTCACTCTAAAACAGTATTAATACCTTTTAGGCAATTTCCATAAAAAACCAAAATAATCAATTTTTTGATTTTTTGGATGATTAAAAATGTAAAACGAATCGGTTTGTTTTGGCTATATTGATTTTTACTACACTGTCTATACTGCAGGTAGGTATGTACATTTCGACGTTTTGGTGTACGTGGTCTAGCTAGGTTCATTATACACGACAACAATTGATCTTCTACGGCGGCGGCTTTTATAAGCTTAAACGCGCATTTTGTTACAATGTAGATATAGCTAGTATGAAAACATGTTTTTTTTTTTATTTTAAACACGGTTTCCCTTTCACTTCACGCATCGAGTAATCGCGTTGTATCTTTTTGAACCGCGAACAAGAAGACACAACACACACGATTCTGTAAGGCGTCAATTAAGTTATCGTTAAAAACTCATTAGTCTTTCTCGCAGACGCCCCAGAGCAATAATAGTAATTATGATCGTGTGACTGTGGATTGTTGTTGTTGGTGGTGGTAGGACGAAAGAGAGAAAGAGAAAAATAGAAGAAGAAAAATCATAATAATCTGACAAATACAGTCCCTACCCCCGCCACGTCTTGAGCGTAAAGCTGATTCGTGAAAACAAAATAAACATCTGGTTCTTAAAAATATAAAAGCTTTCGGAAAAGTGAAATTTTTTTGGTAGACGCTGTATAGAAAATAATACATTTTCACGGCTCTTTGATTTCAGGTTAAAAACGTTTAGACTTAAATATATACAGTGCTAGAGGCTGGTGACATGGGTGATCATCAAGTGTAAAAAAATATTTAGGGCGCTAAATCCATCCACAATAAACACATATAATTTTCTAATTTTAAAGTTAAAATAATTAAATAATTTTTACCTTTTTTTAATCATGTAGGTACTAACTTAGGTACCTACGTCCTACATCAATATCAAGAACGGTTTATAAAAACAATTGCCTTGTAATTGCGAAATTTAAATATTTTATATATATAGGTTAGGTATTTATACCGTAATATATTATACACCAGCATATTTGCTGAATTATAATCAAATTATATTACTGTAATTTAAGAAGTACGCTTATAATGTAGCTTGTGGTCATCGGAATGCGCAACATTTTTTTATACAACAAAGGCACAATGAAGGCTAAATTTTGGTTTTAAATGATTATAACTGTATACTGTTTACGATAAAAAGTATATCTTTAAACAGTTATTATTAGCATATAATAATAAATAATGTATTATACTAAATTTTAATGTGAGCGGTACTAAGGTTACTGGACAAGATTGTAAAATTGAATAAAAAGTATATTTTTTGGGAAGTAAAAATAAACAAAATTACAAAATGTCTAATTTCTGTATTAATTGCTCACATAATGACTTTTTAATTTATCGTAGATGAATTTTAAAGTAATAAAAAAAAAAAAAAACTTTAAAATTAAATAATATACTGATAATACAAATTAAGTAAAAAAATAATTTTTTCTACACGATATAATTTTAAATTATAATCGAATAATGACCAAATTAATTTATTTTACTTGTATTAATGCTCACTAATTATAGGATTATTATATTGTTGTTTGTTAATTGTTATAATAAATTATTCAGGAAAATCGGTTTTTCTGTTGACTTAAAAAAATCTTTTGGAGGTTCAACGGACAAACGGATCTATATTATATTATATAATAAATACTGCAAATAAGTAATCGCCGCATCGTGTTTTAAAACCGGTCAAATATACTTCGTTACAATATCATAAAAATTATGTACTGTTAAAGTATTAATATTATTTAGAATGTATAAAGATTATCTAAACCGACTATACTAATATTAAAAAAGTCGTAACACTTGAACTATGTTCTCGGACGTACAAATACAATACGCAATAATAGTATTCTGTATATTATTATAGTTTAGCTTTATATTATATGCAATGCGAATTGATTTTTGGTTTTTATTTTTCAGGCCAACACAACGAGCAGTTAACTATATTACGCTGGCGAGACTTAGGCGTGAGGTCCTATCACTCTTCTACGGTACTTTATGACGACGTGCGCGGAAGTCATATCATTCTTTACCACCATCACTCGAGAATAGAACTAGAAAATAATAATAAAAGAAAAAAAAAAACCGAAAACGAAAATCGTGCGCGGCTAAAATATAAGGCAAAAGACGCGTGCACCGTGAAGCGTGTGTAGGTTTTGCTGCAATCGTAATCGCATTAACACGAATCTATATTACATACACATATATATGTAACTTAATATAGCAGTATTACGATACATTATTATCAAAAACATATATAGACATAAGTGTACTCATCTGTTGATCGGTTCCGACGTGTAATGTCTGCGCCGTCTTGAATATATAGATCTGTATGGTAGAGGTACCTTATGTATTATTTCTATGTATAGTGTCCACTCACCCGTCTAAAAATCAGTGGTTATTATTATATTATTATTACGCACTGCACTCAATTGATTCGTTTTTCGTGATCTCGAAAGCCGCACACGCCATACGGTATATGACTTTATAATATGTATAACACCCATACTACATATACATTAGTGCGTACGTCGTGACTTATCATAGTTTATAATATTTTTATAATATACATTCAGTACCTCCCTACTAAACTAAACTCATATTGCAGAATTTTGTCGTCGTCGATTGGCGTACGTGTACAAAAAACAATTAAAATAATTAAAACCATACGCTTGATACGATATTGACACATCTTTGTATCATTAATATTGCTGTCTTGATCCGAATTTTCTATATTTACTTATACATGTATGCGCTATACAGTACTGAAAGAACGACCTGGTGAAAAAGGTGAGTAAAATACGTGACAAACCTGAAAAATTCGAAAAGATAATCTAGAAAAATTGTTTGATTTCGAATAGGTAGATCACTACTTTAGATATTCATAGAGAGAAATTCATAAATTGTATATTTAATAGAGATATATAATTATATAAATACTCGTACTAGAAAACTGAAATTTTTCAAGAAAAAAAAATGAACAATCAATAATTAGGTTTAGGCAGGTACACAAAATTAATTTTTAATATTTTTTTTAATATTGAGAATAGAAATAAAAAGTTGGACATTAAAACAAATAAGTAATTAATAATCTTGCAAAACTTACAACAAAAAAAAAAAAAATTTTTTTTTTTATGAATAAATAATACAATGAATTTAAAATACAATTTAATTTTAATTTTTCATTAATATTCCAAAGTAAAAATAAAAACAGGTGTATAATTAATTATTATATAAGTGAAACTTATTGAAACATAACAATTTGTATTACTTTTGTTTTTAGCTACGCATCATTTGTTACTAATTAATTGTGGAGTTGATACTGAATGAAAATCATATTTTTATTACTAAATAATACTAACTATTTATGTTATATTTAAGAACTTAATGATATAATATGTTATACACAATATTTTCGATTTACGGTTTTTTAAAGATTCTTAAAGTATACCATAAAATGTTTATTTCTTAAAAATCTGATAGTCTATTTCTGTTATTAAGTCAATTTATGTATTATATATAGCTTACAAGAAGAATTTTAAATAATTTTCGTTGAGCATTAGAATAGTTTGATAAGTTTAAAGCCTTTAAACATTAGACGAGTAGAGAGTAAAATAGTATAATATTACATAGATTATTGATGAACTTCTAGATATATTTACGAGGATAAATATTAATGAGATATTCTGCAGTATAGTATAAAATATTTTATATTGTACATTCGACGATGGTGGTATTATACGTGAAACTAAATAATAATATACTTACCTAATAAAAAAATAAAATATAATTTTAACTATATAAATGTTACATATAATTTCCGCCCCATTCAAACGATGAGAACAGCTGAATGATATTAACGCGTGTTATACACACAAAAATCTGTCCTCATTAAATCGTCTGTATCTCCTAAAGACGATTGTTGTAGCACTGTTTGACCTTATCTCGTGTAAAGTAGGGGAGACGATCGGTCATCTGTTGCCAGCTCGTAACAGAGCGTACATCGTATTCTCACGAACTCTATTCATTCGAAAAAATGTTTCAAATTAATTTTTATCTCCTTCAAACAATTAACGATAATTATTTATCCTAATTCGTTCGAACGAAAGACACAACATAAGAGCAAAAAACGACTTAGTGTTTCATAATCTGTTTTTAATATTAAAAAATGCATCATCAGTATACTATTACATTTTCGCATAGTATTATTTCAGTTATGAGGAGAGTGCGATATCTATTCATAAGATTATTGTGTAATTAATTATTCCTTGATAATTCTGTAACTGTTTTAATTACTACCCACTGTAAAAAACTTGTATTACTGGAAAATACTTTGCTCTAAAAAATATTAAAATTTACCGTAAAAATTCCTAAGAAATCACGTAGTCTCCGACGATGGTTAATTGGCCACTTACACAAAAATATTCACTTTAGACAAGACTTTTTTAATCTCGAGAAAATTTAATAATATTTAAAAATTGATGATTTCATTTTAAACAGAAAAAAGGTTTTAATAAATCTAAAGGCTACGACTCCATTCTCTTTAGACCAAAACAAAAAGGGATGATGAATAAAAATCGAAATCACTGTTTGGTTAGGACTTTACAACGACGTCATTCGTTTCAATCAAAGGGCCCTTCAAAGATTAAAATATCTCGAGTCCTCCCGAGAGCAATAATAATATATTACTACAATAACCGTTGCATCACGACCACTATACGGCGTATAGATAGGTATTTTGGCTGTGACCGCATCCTATCCGGTCGCCATAATCGTTCATTTTTGGCCCGCCGCTGGAACAACAACGCGCGCGTGAGCTTTACGCGCAGACAGACGGACGTGGTACCCCACACGTTCTTTATCTTTTCAGCGCAGTAACGAATTAATAATAATAATATAATATATATATATATATAAATATATTAAACATATACCTATATAACATTATGCTAATTGCGAACGACGTCGTTCGTCGTCCGACGCGCGGGCGGGTCTCGTTGTCCCCGAGAGCGCCCGTTATCAGTCGCGAAGCGCCTGCAGCACGCGCACTTAGATATATGTATACATTTTGATGTGTTTATTATATAATATCGTGTTATATGCAAACCAGATGCAGACATCGATTTTGCGGTACGTTTATCATATTTTAATATATTATATACATACCCAGCGGTTAATCCAATATACCATATACATGTATATAATATACGCAATTTGTATACATAATACACGAAGATACCATAATATACACTCATTGTCGGTCTGATCCTGTCTAGAGCTAATTATTACTATTAAAATAATTAATATATAGTGATAATTATACTGTACTTTTGAAATCGCGCATTCAGAATACGTGGTTAATTTTATCATGATGTATTTGTATTTTTATAACGCATTAGCTTGCATAGGACTAGGTGCATACAGCTAAAACATAATATACATGCAGGGTTATACATACCAGTCTACAACTAAATGGAAAATGTTTATTTTTAACAAAACGTTGACTTAAATATTAAAATTTGTGTAAGCGGTTTTTTATTTTTTTTTATATATACTCTAATTTTTATATCTGTATACAATTCTATCGCTTTAGTGTGTTTTTTTCCGCAGTTGCTTGTTATGACGGGAAAACGTTTAGTTGTCGTTTGTAAAAGTTTAAAGTAAAACCTATTCTAATTAAGTATAGTAGGAGTCGTTTATTTTTAATGTTTATAAAATTTTCAGACGGTTATTCAATTTTAGATCATACAATTCAAATTCATAATATTTTTTTTCAATCTATAATGAACTCTACTTTTAATAGGGACAGTTATAAATATAGATAACCGGAAGTGTTTTTTAAAGATACTCTTCAATACCATTGTTATTTGTTTTTGAATATAGATTCCATGTTTTTACTTTTTTGAACAAGACGTATGATTGAACTACACCTATATATGAAATTTAATAAATTTAACTTGATTCAAAACTCAAAAGTCGTCACATACAATTCATCCGTTAATCGTTGGTCTATAGAGGGTGTGGCGATTAATGTCGAACATATTTACACATGTACAGTAGAAAAAGTTAAATTATCAATTCGATTACCTTATGTGCATGATTATGTATTTTTTTTCAGGGTAGTAGGTAAAATCATTTTTTGTTACACTTTTACCCGCCGTTCATGCTGTTATAAACGTATAATATTGAACTGCATGTCCAGTGCATGTACCTATATGTAATATTATAACATGCTATTGTGCACTGTGTATAGCGAAAAAGTCTTTCCGAATCGTGTACGCCGTGTCTGCAATACAATTAAAAAAAATTATAAAATGTACGATATAATAATAATTTATGGATCGAATTAATATGCAGTAAGTATAAAAACGCTCTATGACAACAATAATAGGTATAATGTACCGGCGAAAACTAGTGCGCACGGATGTCATATTATATTGTCGAACAATGTGGGAGACCGCACGCGAGCCCCGCGAAACCAGGAGGTCCTTGTTAGCGACGATGTCGTAATAATCGCCACTGCAGGATGTCTGATATGCAGTCACTGTATACGACGTTCGTATATTGCGATTGTTCTACATTATTATATTATTAAATGTCTGTGGTCGGTAATCGATTCGTCGTAGTCATGTGAAGTACACCAAACGATAATATCGCCATGACGGTTAAAATAAATTATTATATAGGTTTTTTTTTTTGGATTTTCGCCTCTTTTACTCGTAATAAGCATTACAATATTTACAACGATTAGGTACGAATGTATGATTTATAAATTATAGGCATACACGTGACGTGCACACTTGACGGTCGGCAATGATTGTATAGACTATAGTACAATAATTATTGTAAATTGTTACTTGTATGTAGATTTAACCTAATTTTTTTTAATTTTATATCAAACTATCAAAGTGTAATGAACGAAATGATCTATTGCCACTGTATAATATTATTTAATTCTTAAAATGCGCTGTTCAAATATAAATCGATTTGATTAAAGAAAAATTTAACAATGTAAAATCATTGTTGCGTAATCTGTTGTAATGTATTGTAATATATTGCGATATATGTGGTGCGCGCAGTTACGCAGGCGAGCTTTATGTTCTATTAACAATAATATATTATGCATTTATAATAGTCGCGTGTATGATAAAATAAGAATAAGTAAATATCGAACATCCTAGGGACCAGGACTTAGATTTATAAGTGTGTGTGTATGTGAGGATGATGGAGGGGGCAATATAAAAATGTCATCATTGTAAAATGACTAAAATGAATTTTAAAAAATCGTGTCTTTTCGATCACCCCCGTTACTTAAAAACGTTTTTCCTTGCGCTTGACACGCAATATTCTCTAAATAGGTAGATATGTTTAAATTTTCCAAATATTTAATTATATGTAAATCCTATATTTATTTGACTATATTATTAAATTTAATATTTTTTTTTGGTATGGTTGAGCTTCAGTGATTACTGGTATATATGTAAAAAAAATTAAAATTCCGAAAGCGGACTTGTAAATTTTGTGAAATTCGAAATAATTGCAAAATATCAGAGTTAATATCGACGTATTTACCTGGCTACGCGTTGACTATACTTATGTCTCATACATTACGAGATTTTTATTTATACATATATATAAGTATGATAAACACGTTGTATTTATATATAGTATATACATCTGTAATGTATATTTGGCCAAAAGTTTTATTACACATTATTATAACATAGTTTGTCTCTCTACGATAAGTTTTGTATCCTAACCTTATCCCATTACCACTCTTCGGTCGGAAACTTCGCGTACGATTAAGATTCGTCACGACTTTATAATATATATATATATACTATTATTATACA